GGGGGGGGGGGTCATTATTCTATTTAAGAGGTACAATTTTAGTAATGGCTTTTGCTGCAGTCCACAGAGACACAGCCAGCCTCCCTCAATATCCTGAACATTATTTGCTCATTTAGTTAAATGATGTTTCTAATTGGTTCATAATTAGTTGTAATGAGGCGGGCCCGAACGTCTCTGATGCAGATACGTCTTAATTCAACATGGCATCTCGCTTCTTCAGGAATAGTTGCCCATGGTTCTCGGAGGGATGGAAGCGAGAGGAAAGCTGGAAGGGGGAGGTTTCCTGCCATTGTGTGTTCCCGTAAATTGGAAAATGAAGTTTGCAGAGCAGTGGGGTTGAAGACCGGGCCATCATGAGCACTGCTGCTGTCTTTCTTGAATGATCTGGCCAATTGTCAAGAACCAAATATGGTTGCTACTTTGACATAGAACAGACAGAATAGAGTATTTAGTATGGTGTGTTGGAGATTTATTTCATAAATGTTTACTAAAACATTCATTTTTTTATGGTAGATGCATGGGGAGGGAAGGGTCTGTGCTCGTAAGTGAATGCTGTGAAAGAGGGAAACTGAAGGTCATTGCGGCTGGTTGCTGTTAACATAAGACCCTTTTGTGGTTTGGATAAACGAACATGTCCATTCACTGGAGCCCATGCACTCACCCCTTTTAAGCAGAACAGCCTAGTAATACACACAGACACACACAAACACTATCACACTTATATACACACACAATCAGTGGTGCCCAATCACTTCGCTTAAACAGCTCTAACAACTGCATGTTGAGCCAGTCCGTCTGCCATCCCTCTGCTCTCTGTTGATTTTTCTCGCTCTCTTGTTTTCTTTTGCTCACCCACATCCCCAGATAAGCTCACTCATTCGTTGAGATTCATGTTGTAGTAGAAGTTGATCATGCATTCACTTACTCACTTGAGAGTAATTCTATATAAACCTAGTAATTCTATAGTAATTCTATATAAAAGAGAGAAAAGTAAATATTTGTTGTTTGAACAATGACTTATTGAGCCTTTCCCTAAAAGTGAACTTGCATGTGATACCTGGGTAAGGTATTTGATTAGGTGTGTGTTTTATTTAACTCGATACTCTGCTCTTTTCTTTTTTTATGCCAAAAACAAGCCATTGTATACTATCTAAATACATACGTAAGACTAATAATATCACTTTAGATTTTTTTTAGAATTAGGATTAATGCATAATATAAATAGTCTATTAATATATAATAAAACATTTATAATATATAATTATAACACTACTTTAATATACAATTTTAATTGTATTTCTTTCGCTAAATATAAAATATAGATACAAAATATAAACAATTAAATATATGAAAATTTATGAAATATAAAAATAAAAAACATCAATAATATGAATATATATAATCAAACACACACACACACACACACACACACACGGGATAAATTTCATCACACTCTAAATAAACTTGCAGAAATAGGGCACACTGTACTGTATTAATATGATGGAATTTTTTCATATTGATTTTTTACAGGTGTTTTTGCACTGCTTTGTGTTTTAGAGTTTTTTGGTTTGTTTGTTTTTTTTTAACAGCGCAGCAAATTATATTATTTGTATTTCAGTATTATGAATTTCAGTATTACTGAAATTATAAATTTTTCTTTACATTTTTCTTACATTTCTTCCCAGTGAATATGAATATGCATCTATCTCTAGAAAGATATTTGTCCCCCAAGTAAACCCAC